AAAAACCAATGATTTGAGATGTTCACCCAAGTGCTCCTGTCATTTGGACACGATATCCAGCCTGTAAAGCTTACACACATCAGAAATGAGACAATGAGTATTACATGCTGGGCACTGGAGGTAAAACAAATTCATGGAATTATGCAATCTCAGAGGCATAATGGTTTGCATATCTACTTTAAAATCACCTCAAGACATCAAACTACCACATTACCATCACATTTTTTCAATTAATTGGGCAAGAGAAGAAGGAATGCAAATGAAAGTACTAGAATTTAACAGCTAACACTGACATCCCACATCACATGGCTCCTTTGGGAATATGGTGTGAGAGAGCAAAAATGGCAACTGTGCCCAGTCTGTAAAGAGCCAGGAGAAACTGTCTGTCCTGCCAGGGCTTTGCATACCAGCATTCCTGTAAACCACTGATCCCAAATCAGCTTGTTTTATCCAAACACTGAGCTCCTTCCCAACACCTGTTCAAGTTTTGGTAGCACCACTGATCCAAGCACTGCTTTCTTGAGCACTCTACAGATGATAGGTCACGGAAGGTGACAGCTGGGACCTTGCAACTACAGGGAGAAGCAAACAGAAGCTTTCAAGTAGTGCTTCCTGGGCTGCTTGCCTTCAGATAACATAGTTTGTTCCCAAAGTAAAACCAGGGAGTTGGGATAACCCCAGTGATATTCACTGGTCCCCTGGCTGAGCGGATGTTTAAGATGACTGCAACTCCAACAACAAATATTGATGCCTTGTGAAATCACCGACTTCTTGTAAATACCTCAGTGAGGTAAATGCAAAATTGACAATTTTGAAAAACCTTTGCACAGCCCATTTCTGTTCTGGTCAAGCACAAAACTTGCCCAAGCTGTGGCTGTGTCTGCAAGAGATGGAAGGGAATTCACAGTTTTAGTTTTCACTTCATCTTCTAGCCATAAGCAGCAAAATGTAACAAACCACAGTCACTTATCTCCTGGCACAGGCACAGACTATTGGATGCAGGATGTGGGATGTGGGATGTGGGATGTGGGCAGGAAACATGCAGCATGGCTTCACTAGTGAGCCTGACTGATCTCCCAGCCAGTGCAGCCCCGTGAGCCCATGCCTGGGAATAAATGAGATATGCTGGAAATACAAACAGATTGTCCCTTACAGTGCTGGAAAGAACCAGATTTAACTTTAGGAACAGAGCAGTTTTTCTATTACCATCCTAATGGTAAGGGCCACGTTACCAGATCTGAGTCTCAGAAGGAAAAACAGTCAGAAGGGAACGTGGTTCACTGCAAAACCTGCTAAAAGTATCTTTCCATTTCTCTTCCCTTCTCTTTTCAGTATTTTTACACTACAGAGCTCATACTAATAATCCATCTCAGGGACACAACATTCAAATAAAAACACATGCATGTTTTTCCATTCATCATCATCCACATGCTACATTTCACAGTTCATTAAAAGAGCAATGTACCACTCTAGATAAACATCACAGCAAGGCACCTTTCATTTCCTTGGTGTCTTTGTTTGCTTGTTTTTCTCTGGAGCTTTTGGAAACAGCCAGATGGAAACAGCATAAACACAGGTTAAAACCAGGTGTCTGGTATGTGTAAGAAACAAAAAGGTTTAGTAGTCCTTGTAACTTCCATAAGACATAAAATGAAAATAAAAAATACTTGTATTGATGCAGATTTTTTTTTATTATTTGAGGTAAAGGTTAGTGGTTATGGGTTAATTTTAAGATCCACTTTGCAGAAGGTCCAGAGATTATTCATTTTACCCTGACCAACAGGACTGGACGCATCTGTGCACGCACTCCAGTCTGGAGAGTGGGTCTATGCTAAATGGTGGGACAGTTACCTTTGCAAATTAAGTGGAGAGGAACATTCAAAGTCCTGACTACTCTCACTCATGCCAGGGTTGCTGACAGGGAACCCTGAATTCACTGCTCAAAAGTTAAGAGACCTCTCTCCCAAAACAACTGGAAAACAGAGGATTATATTTATATGGTTCTTTTGTGCCTGTTACATGAACAGTTGGTAACCATGGCTCAGATTTGGTCCCAAAATTTGCATGTGGTTTTAGTCCAAAATTTATCCAAAATTTCTTCATAAGAACAACTTGTCAGGGTGGTATTGAATATGTGAAAACGAGGTCTGCTAAGTTTTGCCCCTAGATAAAGATTGGGCCTGTGGAGCTGTAATTCCAAACATAGTATTTGATCACAGCAAGGATTCTTGAACATATTAAAAAGCAAATTTCAGATGCAATTTCAGCCTTACAAGAAGTCCATGATTTGTCTGGAATGACTCTCAATTTCCTACTAGCTGCAAAATCATTAACACTAGTTGTTGTTCTCATGTAGATCAGCGGGAAAGAATTATTAAGGATTTGGTTGAAATTTGAAAGCAAACTCAAATTCTACATCAGGTAGCTTTCAAAAGGCCCACTGAACTTTGAATATATATTTGACACTCTCACCTCATGGTTACAGAATTGGGTCTGGATAAAAGGAATTGTTTATATTACTTATATCTGTAGTTATTATTTAAATAATAGCTGCTGTATGATGTGGTGTGGTTAAATATGGAGTAGAGACTAGACAAGGTAGAGTCTTGTTAGTCTCTAAAAATGGGGGGAAATTATGCCTAATCGATTTTTGCCTTTTTCCTTTTATATATATTCTCTGTAGTCTTTACACATCTATTTGTAGTTCTGCAGCCTAATATTGTATTTTAGCTAGCTTCCCCAGTACTTTTCCCTGCCCTGATAGGCAGAAACACAAAACACATTCCAAGGCCCCTATCCTATCTTGGTTCTCCCTAAAACCAAGGTTGAGACCAGCTCTTCAAGATGTATTTTTATAAACAAAGTTCAGTTTCCATCTAAGGGTGGAGGGGACAAGATTCAGAGGGTTGAACTGGGGGAAATTGCCTTATGGCAATTTGGTGATTTTTGTCAATTATGCTAATTTGCTAAACTTATAAAACTGTATTCACCCTGTGTGGGGGCATGGGCATTTTGTGAATATTTTCCATGACTGCCCCTGCAGGCCTCCAATAAGGACCAGCCTTTTTTATTACCTCCTATACTAATATTATCTCAAAAATGTGTTGTTTTCTTTCTAGGTTCTTTAAGCCATCAGTATGGCAGTTACAGGCCTTTATTAAGGAGAAAACTCCTTGTTCTTAACTGAAGTTGAAAGCTATATTGGAAATAAATTTCTATTTTATTGAAACAGCTCATTGAGTATGAGTGTACTCAGATATACCAAAGATTCAAAATGTGATTATGTTCAGTTTAGGATAAAACCCAAAGACACCTGACAGTTTCATAAACTGGGGTTTATGAAAGCCAGAAAATCAGTTTTTAAAGAGAAAAATAACTTGTTGAGATTTTATCACTGAAAACATAGGTACTGTTATGAAAAAAAATATTGTGTACAAAACAGAAAAAAGCATAAGACCAACTTTTTTAAGAAAACCAGCATTTGAGATTAGAGTAATGCCTTTGATATAAATTGTCATTTACAAAACAAGAGAGAAGAAATAGGAACTTCTTCCTTGCAAATACTATCAGAAAAGAATTGCAGTTGAAAAGCAGGGGGAAAAGATCATCCCATTCCATCAATAAAATCTAACAAAATTATGTGATTTGCTATTGATAACAAAATTATTTGCAGACATCAGATCCATCAAGAATAATAAATTACTTGAGGACATCTAATTCCTAGTTACAGCCAGTGAATGGTGAAGCTTCCCAGTGTAGAAAAATCCTTTTTTCATTTTCACTTGGCTCATCCAATACACTTGACAAATTGAAGAGCTCATGGATCACTTCCATGAAACAAGGAGGTGACACAGATCATGATTTCATTCCAATCTGGGACACTTTCATGCAGCAGAAGTTTGAAATGCAATGAGATATTTGCCTTACAAAAGGAACCAACAAACAGCATAAACAGCTCAAGGTCTGTACTCATTGGGAAAAATAGATTGGTAGATTACATAATAAATTACAGAATTATGATACTTTAACTAAATATCATAATCTGGCAGTGCTTTAAAATAACTTAGAATTTTCGCAGGATGAATTCCCTCAGGTTTGAGAACAGTCAACTGGTTAAAATCCAGGCAATTCTATTGATTTGATAGAGTCAGAACAGTGAAAGAGAGCAGAGAATCCGGTTTATAAATTGAAGGCAGAGAGGAGAAAACCTTATTTTCTCATTAAAAATCCACAGCTTTTCCCTTTCTTGCAATCCAGGTGCTCCCTGGATGTAATGTTCCTATTGTACTTCCTAACAATGGGGGAGAATTTTAACACAAAAGCATAATTTCACTCAGATAAAAAGGATAGCTCATTTGCTTGTTTTCACTGTTCAAAACAGATAACCTTAATAAAATTTCTGAAGTTTTTTTCACTTTAATTCCCAAGCATGAGTTAATTAATTCTCACAACATCTGAGCTAAAAGTAATCTCCATTCACCTGACAGAGAAATCACTACAGGAAGAAAGACTTCAAAACTCTGGGATAAGCAGTAGTTTCCACTACTTCATTTAATTATGAGTTAATAGAGTAACTAGTACTAGGAAGATGTAACATGTTGCATACAAATATTGATAAACCTGAAGTGGTTTTTGCCCCTCTATTAATTTTTTAGGTTTAAAGCCAGAGGAAAGTTCAATGTAGTGCAGAGAAAATTTTAAGCAGCTTGTGAACACAGCAAGTCTCACCCCATACAAGAAGTACCGAGGGAAAGAGAAGCAAAAGAATAAAGACCTAACACTAACAACTTGGGGTTCAAAGCATTTAAACCTATGTTTCCATCCCTTTACCAGAAATACTGTGTCCTTTTGTGCTTTTATCTCCTTTCTGATCTTCGTCTACTTCTTTGGCCACCACCACTAATGGCAGCACATAAACAGTCACAGATTTCAGAAGAGCTGAACCTCTGTCCTGAGCTTGTTTTTTTCCCTTTTTTTTGGACTACATCTGGAGTATAACGGGTGTTTTTTTAGGTCTATGGGACAATCTAGAATTGGAAGCTTTGCAGAAGTATGGACTTGAATACAAAGCTAGAAGTCAGAATAAGCTGGAAACCAGGAGAAATTCACATATCTTTTAGCATGGTTTCTTTAGTTTTTAGTGCATTTTAGGAGAAAAAAAAAATAGGGGATATTTTTCACATGAAAAATTTTTGCAGTTTTTTTCCTCTAAATGATTTTAAAGTAATTCTTCAAGATACTAACCAGCATCTGAGTATAAACTTCAGGCTATTTTTCTTATATTTGTGTAACTGTGTGCCTATGTATTATTTAGGGAGTCTCTAGAGACCTCTGAAAAGGCTGAGAGCTCTGACTGACTTTCTGCTCCATTTTCAATGCAAGGTGACATGTATGAACAAGAAAAAAAATCTCCTGTTTCTGCCTTTGCATGGAACATTTATTGGAAATGCTTATGGAGTGGTAGTTTCAAGAGCACTGAAAGCTGACTTAATCCAGTATTACTTCAATGGGCATTTCATTATTGATAGAAATAAAACCACAGTGGTTTTTGCACTCTGCAGCATCAGGAAGTCACCTTCCAGTGATATGCAAGTCTCATACTCAAGATGGCTTTTGAATACTCAGATAAAATTATTTTTATGTATATGTTTTGTAACAGGCCAAACCATGCAGTGTCCAAATGATAATACACTGAAGGACATAATTTCCAGGCATCTCCATGCTCATTTAGTTTTCAATACAAAGTCCAGGCCTTTAAAACCAGTCAACATGATTGATATGTACGATCAGAGTCCTTGCAGGGCCTTCACAGAACGAAGAAATATCATTCAGCAGTGGGAGACATCAAACAGGCAGAGGCTGTGGCTAAAATATCTTTTTTTTTTTTTTTTTCCTGTCAGTGCAGCACACTCTGTATCATCTGCCCAAACTTCACAGCTCAAGAGGCAGGAGTCACATGCTCAAAGGAGTCCTGCCAGACTACTCCAAACGAGCATTTTCCTGAAAACTGGATTATCTTCTGGAAGTTTTACTCTGCGTACGATGGCTACCCAAAAAGAAACTTGTGTTCCTGAAGAAGGAGTGTTTATTTTCAGCACATGGAGGGTTTATAAAAAAAATAAAAATAAAAAATCAAGCATTTCCTAAAAAACCATATGCACAGAAGAAAAAAAAGTTGTGATTATGGCACTTTTGCAGAACACCAAATTCTTTGTTGGAGATATCTGAGTAGAGACAAATTGGTGTCTCGGTACTCCAGATTATACATTTATTTTCAGTGAAGAATTTTCATTTAATATCAAGATAATCACACAATAACAAAGCTGCCTGCAGAAGGAAGATCCCTTAAGTTGTTGGTAAGAATTCAGCTTGAAATGTAATTCTGTAATTGTTTTCTTCCAGTAAACAGAAAATGATGCAACTCATCTCTGCTATGGGTCCCATCTGACTGAAACAATTAATTGAATATACAATTAGAAATCAGAAGGAACTGTCCAAAAGGCACTCCAGTGTTTTACTGAACACCATCTAATTCATAAACCCAGAGAACAATTCCTAGTGGCGCTGCTTTTTTTAACTCACTCTGGATTCACTCACAGGAGTTAAATCCAGGACAAAGGGGGAGGGAAAAAGGGTTTAACTTGGTAGGTGAAGATATCAAATAACACAGTAAATTCCACATGGTTGGAGTGCTAAAGGTTCCCTTGCCTTAGAGGGTCCCAGACAGGATAAATATTCATCTCAGCAGAAAGCTGACCCCCTCCACAGCAGAGGGAGTACACAGTCAATAATTAAAAATGCAGCTTTAATAGGCCTTCCTGAGACTTGCCAGGGATTTCAAGTGCTGCTAGAAGCAGCTTGTCTCCAAAGGGATGAGCTACCATCATTTCCAGTAAGCCCAGAACTCCTGACTGTGAAGCAGGACAGGGTTTAACGTGCCATGGGTAATTATCTGGGATCACAAGCTGGTCATGGAACTGCATCCCCTGGTCCTGAGCCCAGTCAGGTGGGCACTGGGCAAAGCCACAGCAGTGGCCACAAGGAGCAATCAGCCTTTTCCACCAGGGAAAAAGCTCCAGCTCCTGCTCTGTCTTGCACAGCTGAGCCTCACAGCCACAGCTGGAGTGTTTTCACAGTCTTGCAGAGAATTCAGAATGGTCAGAAGAAGCCTGAATCTGGCAGTGCCTCTCTCCTGGCTGCACTCAACCAAGCATTTTCAATTAGCAACACTCTTTTTACCCCCACCATAACAGTTGAAAAGCAGAGTGGAATTCATTCTAAAGCACATGCATTAAGCTGAAGAGCCTGAATACACGAGGGCTCAGCCTGCTGCAATAAAAACTGATGGAAATGAATAATCAGGGAAGAATGAGTAGCTGTTTAAATTCTCACTGCTGCCAAAAAATTATCAGCCAGAGAGCATAGGAGGTTAAGCCTCATGTTGGCTCTTTGCATTCCACTTACGGAAACAAATTTGTTAATATTTAATAGAAAGAACTCCAAGTCTTTTACTAATTGTTCTGTTCAGAAACTACAAAAAAGTCAAACATATGATAGATTCCAAAAGCTAAAACATGGAAATTCAAGGACACAGATATTATTTTACAACGATTGCACTGAAAAACATATCCTTCTTCTATCCTCTTTCTCTTCTCCAGTGAGGGAATTACCAACACCTGGCTGAAACTGATTTGGTTTTTTTTACTTGGAGTTATTTTGAACTCTTAGTGGATATGTCAGCAGTTTAAAAGAAAAGCTTGTTCAAACAACAAAACATACTAGCTGCCTTATGGCTGGATTTTTAAAAATCACACTTCTATCCCCAAAGGGAATGGTGATCTGGAAGGACAGCGAAGACAGATCCTTTAGGACGATGGCTAGGGGCAGAAACAGAAGTCCATGTTAAGAGGAGGTCACTGCACACTAGGACAGCTACAGTACCCAGAATACCCCTGAAACAGTCATGGAGGTGGGGAATAAGCATTTCTGGACAAAGCCTGATGAATTTTGCTTACTTGGAAGTATCAGCTAATGCAAACTCCACCATATGAGTTTTTGAAGGAGGCCATGGTTCAAGATGGTGGCTGGTTAATTCATTTTATATCTGTGTTATGATGTGAGTGACAGGAAAGAACAGCTTGTCCTTCCTATTACCTGGACTTCTTCCAACACTTACTAATCTATTAAGCTGAAGAAGAATCAGAGAGGCAGCAAATGGTGAGATTGCTGTCACCTCCTTCATTTTCCTCACTTCTAGATCAAAAGTTCCCTTAGGCCTTAAGGGCAAGGGTGAGCTCGATATTAAGTTAGTATTCAGGAAGCTGTTTCCAGGAATGGTTTTCCATAAGTACCACATTTCAGGACACTGAGTTCCAAAAAGAAGATGCTTTGCTTAGTTTCAGCTCTCACAGAGGTGCTAACTCAGCTGCCTAGATAACAACATGAATTTTGAGAAAAATAACAAAAAGATGAAAGTAGTCAAAAAAACCCCAAATATTTCCGTATTTCCAAAGGCTTAGACCTTTGACTTTACTAGCTGCCTCACACCAAACTTGTTATCTTCATTCCACCAAAAATATAAAAATACAAAATTCATAAGCAAGAGTTCTTAGCACTGTAACAAAGTCTGTGCCAAAATTAGAGATGTTTTTATTCTCATGAGCACACCTCTCAATCCCTTCTCTAGGATTTTGCTTTGCTGGTTGCTGTTTTGCTTGTCTGATCTAGAAAGAGCTCCAATAGGCTTCCTAATCAACAAAGAGGGAAAGTTTTATAGTTTTGTCAGAAGCTCAAAAATTGGTCTTGATTTCCTCAAGAACATAAACAGCCCCAAAAAGATTGTATCAAGAGGGATTTCAGTGCATACCTTTCTTGTAAAGGTATTTAATTTATTCTCCTTACAAACATGGGACAATGATTCCTATGCAGGTAGAGCAATATTCCAGCATTTCTGTCCCTTGTCAGCTCTATGATAAAATCAGTAACTATGAATATTAACAAATCATTTGGCCAGTCTGAACCAGTATTTTTTTTGAAGATGAACTGCAGTAGCTTTCAACCTGGCAGATTTGTGCAGCTTTAGCTACACTATCAGGGAAATTCAGGGACTGGCAGTGAAAATAGAAGTGCTGCAGGAGGGAATTTCACTAATAAAGATTTCAAAAGACTTCACTAAAAATATAGCAACACTAGAAAAGACCTCTCTCCCAAAAGTGGATAAACTCTCAGGCCCTTCCATGCAATGCTGTATTTCATATGAGTGATCCTACACATGAATTGCCCTCTTCTGAGACATCCACAAGGCGAGATCCACAACCCACATGGATGGAGAGCCTTCACTCCCAACATTTCTGTCAGGTAACAGCCACTCTTATGCTCCCAGCTGCTTGGTTTTGTCTTTCTGACTGTTCTGGCCATGAAAGACTTGCAGTGCTCTCCTGCATCCCTTTTTACCTGCTGGGCAAAAGGCTGATTCTTGGTTTGTGTTTCCATGGACTGGCAAGTCAGCTAAACCAGATTTTGCCTCCCAAAAGTGGCATTTATTTTTGTTTCTCTCCTTTTATCAATTTCCAGTTTTCTGGAAGTTAAAGAAAATTGTTTACTCTTGAAGCCATTACTTGCTCATCGAATGTGGTTGCCTTTGTACTGTGTATGCCAGTTTTACTCACTATATATAAATGTGAACAGAGCCAGAATTATAGATTTCTCCAGTATCAACCACACATCACACACAGACTGGGTCTCTCCTGCTCCTGTAATTCCTTGGTAGTTATCTCCTAGCAAACATCAGGACTGCAGACACCAGAAGGCCTCAGGCTGAGTCTTACAGAGGTGGGGAATACAACACCTCCAGATATCCAGGGCACTGGTTTAACATGAACAAGCCAGATCTTATGAAACACTGGACAGAGTTTTCGTATAAAAATGCTTTTTCTTCTTATCCCATTATTTTCCCAACACATGGAACACATAATTACAAAGGGGTTGGAGAGCTGTAAGAGAGGTTCAGAAGTAAATTTCTAAGTACTGGTAAAGATACCAAAAAATGACCAGCAAAGAGGCAGTTCCCCCTACTCTCCTGGTTCCCTCACAAGGAAATGCTGGCATCCTGCTGAAGTGCCTTTTTTAGTACATCATATTCCAATTGTTGTTTCCACAGATAATGAAATCTATAAAGCACTAAAAAGCGCAAACTTGATGCACTCAATAAAAACCAATCAGGCACCTCTTTGTCTCCAAGAAAGGCAGCTCAGTCAAATCCTGCCACAACAAGCAGTAAGGAAAATATTTTACTTTTAAATCCTTCCTCACCGAGTCCCCCCATCATAGATAATGCACTAATGAAATTAAATTATTTATCAAGTGATGTTCCATCAGTGTGCTGACTGTACTTTCAATTAAAGCATGGAAAAAGACAACATGGGCTATGAGGTACATTCAGATTCTATCAGAACACTAACTAAAACTCAAAAATCCCCACATTACCCTTTAGCATTGCCCTGTAATCCTATGAAACAGTGCCCACTTTATGCTTGGAATATCCATATTCCAAAAGAAAATTTTTATTATGAAACATAGGTTTAAAAAGAAAAACATGACTATTTTTCCCCCAGTTTCCTACACAAAGAATTGAACTATTCATATTTAAGGAAGAGCCATGGATTTAGCTTTTTTAAAAAATTGTTTATATCTACAGAATTTGCAGCTGGTAGTGTACAAGGAGAGACCTTAACACTTGAGAAAACACATCCCCCCAAATAATAGAACTTCGGAGATAGAACAGCACAGGAAATTCTTGTGGAAAGTTGATGACAGTTTTGTTGTTCCAACACCTTGACTAGATTTTCAGTAATAAGAAAGAGAACAGTGATATGGATTTTTCAAGTTAATGGTGGTAACATCTTGCAGATTAAATTACACTGCAGACTGAGCTGGGATTCTCCTCTTGTCCTTCAGCACTAAACCAAAGCAAACAAACAAAACAATTTGTCATTACCATGGTGAGAGGACCATCTGCTGCCCAAGTAAAACCCAAAATAAAACAGTCCTTCAGGCACTGTGCACACTGACAGAATTCACCACTATGAGCAGGGCTGCCTTACATCAGGCATGCCCTTCTATTTTTTCCTTTTTCATGCTGGCTCTGCAGCTTTTCAGTGCTCCCAAAGGCTGTTTTATTTCCCAGACTCTCTTTAAGCAGAGACAATCTCATGTGAGAAGTACAAGTCTTTAAGGCTAACGTTACAATCCAAGCAGAAGAGCAAGTCACACACAGAGAAACAATTTTTGAAGCTTTGACTAATTTTAAATGACACATTCATTTCTGTAATTTTCCTATAAGCACATGAAGAACCTCATTCTGCATTCCACTGAACCCTTCAAATACCCTCAACAGTCCATGAACATCTGGAGTCCAAATGAATACAGAATTAATCCCTAAGGCTGGACAGCAAAACAGGTCAGGAACCATCCCTGCTATGAAAGTCACTGTGGAAATCTTGCAGCAGGTCACTGAAATCAGGCTGCACTTCACTGCTGGTTTTATAACATGTTTTCTTTTCAGACCAGTTTGCTTAACCAGCTCTTGCCCACAGTACAGCACTGGCATAGCTGTGAGTGCAATGACCTGAACTATCCTGATAAAACCTACAACACATAGGTCTATCCATCCCCAGTAGCAAGGCATTCCTATGACATTCTAACCAGATTCTTAGCACCTTAGCACTGTCCCAAGAGTCTTCAGAGAGCTGATGGTACTCAGCTCCTTGGGCTTTTAAGCCCTTCCTTCCCCTTCCTCTTGGGGGGAGGGGGAGTGACACATTTAAAAAAAAAAAAAAAGAATAAAAGGAAAATAAACAAAGATTCAATGACACACACATGCTGTCCTACACACACACAAACAGAGGAAATAAGCAAGGAGAAAGGAAAGTTCTACAGGGTGCTGATCTGGAATGAAATGGAATTTGGAACAGATAGTCATATTTGGCACTGTTAGCAAAAGCTTATGAGTGGCCTGGTGACTCTCTGAGCCTTAATGCCCTTTTTACACTTGTCACTTAAAAACGTCCCTGGAAAGTTCAGCTGTGCTGCTTCTGACATTGTTTTCCCACTGCTGCTGAATGGACTTGATGGAGAGATACATTTCATCCCCTCCCAGTTCCATAAAGCACTAAATAAGGACATATTCCATTTGGCCTTCAAGTAGCATTTTTATGGTCCATGCAGATCCCTTTAAAAACAACCGACATAAAACAGAACTCTCTGCTGGAGAGCATGGAAAGTAAAAACTACTGCATCTCCCAAATTGATTCCTATGATTCTCAGGCTGAAGGCTGGATTAGAGGGTCCTCACATGGTTCTAGCTGCATTCTCAGTACCCCACTTTTATGAAGAAACCAAAGCTGTAGAAATTCCTCCGGCATGGCATGGAATCCGGAGTCAGGCAGGACATTGTCATAGTAATGATGGCTGATAAACTTGCCGTGCAGGTCCACTGAGAACGGCCAGAAGCCGTAAATTGTTACTTCCTCACACAGACCAAGGGCAGCGCTGACCAGGAAAAGTCCCGTGGAAAGGCGCTTGGCGTGAATACCTTTGCTCTTCCAGAACTTGCTGATGTCCCGCAGGAAGTTGGGGTTGGCAAAAAGGACTGCCTGCTTGGCACCGAAATCCTCCAGGGTGTAGTAGACGCGGAGGGAGGGTCCTGTCCCTGTTTTCATGGAGAAGGCTGGCATGTAGATGTAGCTGTGGTTATAGACCTTCACGCTGTCCACAAAGGCTTTTCGGGACCACAGCAGATTCTGGAACCTGGAAAATCACAAGGGAAAATGAGTTGGTCACACATAGGTTTTCCCAGATGTTTCATAATCCTAAGGGCTGCTCTCCATACCCATATTTACAAATCACTGCACACCTCTTCCAAGCCCAGAGAAAGTCCAGACAAACTTCTGGCTGTCTGACACTGCCTCTCTTCTGAAAAGAGACACCTGAATAGACAGCTGAAAACTATCTGGTATCCTGCTAACTCCGAAACCTTTCTGATTTCATATTTTTAAAAAAACCCAAATGAACACTGACAACGTTCCATAAGACTCAATTCTTTTTAGCAATATTTTTCATCTGCCCAAAAATCAGCTTAGATTTTTCAGGTACGGGAATCTATAAAAGAAATCTTCAAATCTGTGTTGTTCTTGTTTCCTAAAGGCAGACTAAAATAAGAACCCAGGAAGATTCCCAGGAACCCAGGTTAGAATAGGAAGGCAAGGTGTATGTACAGATTATTTTTTTTTATATGAAAACAGCATATTACAATTTGTTTAATTGCCAGTAGCTATTTGCTGATGGCTGCTTTATTCCTGATGCTTGACTGACAAACTACTCCACAATTAGTATCATGGACTATAAACTTTCCTTGTCATATGTTTCCTCCCCACCTTCATCACTTAAAATATCCAAAGCCCTCAGAGTCTGAAGCTTACTACACTAAAAACCACTTTTGCACAAGCCTCACACACTCCTTTCATTGCAGCTAGGCTGGTCCCCTGAGTGCGATCCCTAATTTTTAACTCAGCTCCCAGATGTCTGTGTTGCTGCCTCCTCTCCCAGTTTCCTGCAGCCAAGACAGATATGTCATGACTAATTCTCTAGTCATACACTAGAAGAGCTGGGACAAGAAAGTTGAATCAGCACTGGATTTTTTTTCCTTTCTGTTGTGCAGGCAGCAATAGGTATAATAGTATGTTTTTAAATGGTTATACAGAGATCAATTTAATGTATAAACCTCTTTGAAACTATAACAAGAACGACACAAGCAGGTTTAAATAGAGTGCCCAATTACCTCAATAAGCGTTGAACAAAATTTCAGCTGCAATGATTGGAAACAAAAAACCCAAACACCTCCAATAGCATTGAAATGTCTCATATGCCAGGTTTTTTTGTAGTCTTTGTTTTGGCAAAAAAACCCCTTGAAATAGTCTTGATAAATTGAAAGGTTGACATTTTTAATATGAAATATTTGGTCTCTTGATTTGCTACAAGAAGTTTCTTGAAAAACTTCCTGCACGTGGTATTAGAATGAACCAGATGTATTTCTGGTTTGAAATCTGAAGTCTGTCTGGGTCTTCACTGCTTCTTTGCTCTGCATATCTGCTCCTACTGCATGGTGCTGTTTGCCTATGGAGACAGAGCCACTCACTTCCAAGCAAGATATCAATTCAATCCCAACCTACAAACCAAAAGCCAGTAATTTCATAACTTACTGTATTTGGCATTCTTTTCTGTAGAACCAGCCAAGACAGAGCTTAGTGTAGAAAGCCAGCCAAGACCAAGGTGCCATGGCAGAAATTCATTGTCTGCCTGTACCTCTCCACATGGGCCTATCCCTCCATTACTTTCAGACCTATGACTGTTCCCCAAAATAAGCTTTACCAAGGAGCAGCAGGGCAACCTGCAGATTACCAGGTACACGAATTGGCTCCATCCTACCAAGTTTATTTTGTTTCCATCAGGACACTGTCACTGAGGGGGAAAAAACAAATTTAAAAAGAAACTTCAAGCTTAATACCTTCAATATTCACCTAAGTGCTCAGACCCCCGGTACCCAAATATTGTTCCAATATCCCTAAGCACTTTGGAAAGGTCCTAAGGCCAAGAACAAGCTTTCAGTCCCCATTCAGTCACTGGGAATTGCAGGCTCAAACTTCCTTCCACAGTAAAGGGGTGTTGAGCAAACAGCATGATGTTGTGGGGTCCTTGCACCTTGGCTGAGGAGAGGCCAGAGGCACATTCACAGTCACTCCTGAAGCACCACGTCCTTTCCCACTTAGTGGGAAACTCTGTAACAGTGGCGGCCAACAGCTGGCCCGAAGGTCTCAGAGTTATAATTAAACCCAATTTTATAACTGAAACAAAACTAATTAAACCAGTGCCTTGATCATGTAACTCGACCAATTGGGGAGCAGGTGAGACGCGAGCGGCTATTGGCTGGTTGGCCGGGGGGGGGGGGAAACAACTGGTTCAGCCAATCAGAGTTAACCGCGCAGACCTCAAAGCTATTTAAGCAGAACTGTACTCAATCAAAGGCGCCTGTTGGCACGAAGTGGGGTGAGTTTTGTTACATTCCTGTCTCCAACACCAAAGCGACAATGAGCGACCACCGAAGCGATGCAACAAGCTGCCGCGGATATTGTGGGGAGACAGAGGGCAGCAGGGATTGCTGCCGGCAGCCTGTAGGGCTGCGGAGAGCGGCGGGGAAAGCCGCGGAATCCCGGCGGAGCAGCGGAGAGAGCTGCAGAAGGCGGTGGAGAAAGCTGCGTGGGTCTGGACCCCTCGTTTTTGGAGTAGAAGACGCTGTTGGGAAAAACATCTGAGTGTGGGCTTCGGTGCAGGAAGACCTGCTTATTAAGGTATGGACTCTTCTTTTAAAGAAACTTGTGGACGTATTAAGGCAGTTACAAAACTGAGCATGACGCGAGGACGGCGGTGGGGGCGGCGCTGGCAGCGAGGACAGGGCACCGGGAGCAGCAGCGGGAGGCATGGGCGCCGCAGCTGGCGCCGAAAGAGAAGGTCGGAAGAAGCAACCGGGCCGAGTTGCGCTGCCGGCCCGTGCCGTCTCGCCCGGGGATCGTCATGCGGCTGCAGAGAGCCACGCTGCTGGTCTGTGCTGGGATGCACGGCCAGCGGAGCACGCCGATCGCGCTGAAGCCGTGCCTGCACCCTGCGCGGACGTACCTGGCTGCTGCCGCGCCGTTGTGTCGGACAAGTGCTCGGGACTGCTCCGGATGGCGCTGGCCCCGAAACCGCTCCTCAGTGGCACGCGGCTCGTGCCGGAGCAGAGCGCCCTGCTCCTGCACCGACAGCTCCTGCACGGCCATTTGAACAGCGTGTGCTGCAGCCGCACACATCCCGCGTCCGCATGGATGGGCTTGGACCGCCGCCTCCCGGAGGTGAGTGGCTCGGCTGCGAGACGGCGTTTACGACACAGCCTCCCTCGGCATGCCCATTCGCCGCTGTGATTTGTGGGCAGACCCTGGAGACAAGGGGACGCGCGTTTTCACGGAGGAAAAAGAAATAACTGTGAATCATGGACTGGACTGCTGCGAAAGCCGCAGCGGAGACGCCGCGGGCACCGCCCGCCGTGGAAGCAGCTGAGACGGAGTTCATCCTCAGGCGCACGGGCTGGGACGACAGGCAAGAAGCTGAGGGAGGGACGGCCATTATCCGGAACTCCTGCGGCTTCCTCCTGCCGCATTGCCGGCAGAGCTCCCCAGCCGCCACTATCGGTAGCGCCTGTATCATGTATGGCTTTATCCATGCATGCTACCACCCGAGCCGCCGCCCTCAGCATCGGGTGCGCAAGCGCAGTGCCCGAGCACACTGACCCTGCGGCTGCTGCAGCCATCTCTGTACGCCGCGCCTTGTATCGCCGCTCGCTCCGCCCCTGCCCGCAGTTGATTGGGCAACTGCCGCCCGGCCCGCCCCTGCCCGCAGTTGATTGGGTAGTCGCCGCTCGGCCCGCCCCTGCTCGCAGTTGATTGGGCGGCGCGCGAGCGGAACCCAGAAGTGAAGCGGCGCTCGGCACCGGGAGCTCTGGTGCGGAGTCGCCAGCGCTCGAACCCGAAATATTGAGGGGAAGGTTGCAGGCACTGTGCACTACGAGACACCACACCGTGTCGCATCCACAGCTAGGGCTCGAGAAGCCCGAGGGGTTTTTTTCATTAACAGACTCACAGTATCCCAGTGGGGAGAGTCGCGTTACAGCGCCCTTGCTGTCCCACGATAAGACGCGGCCATTGGCAGTTTGGTATTGATTAACATCTCTACGTGTGATCCCATCAGCTTTTGGAAGCGGATAAAATTAGCAGCTATTGCAGATCTTAACAACGCTGAAAGGATTTCCGTGCCCGTGCCTACGTTATCATCGGCTGGCCAGCAGCCTGCGGATGGAAGGTGAAAGCATTCCCGGTGCTGAGGGGCGACAGGACCACACCCGACAGGTTAAATCCCACGGAAACTTTCAGCAAGCATTTGGACACCAGGGGTGTCTGGCTGACTCCAGGCTCAGTGATGTAGATCATCTCCTAAGCGAGAACATCGCATAATTATTTTACTCTATTTCCTTTGGGAGCAGTTTTGGGATTATTCTCCCACCTCTGGGTAGCCCTCCGGGGTCAGTTTGTCCTCTCCCTTAGGATGGTCTGGCCCCTTCTGAAATCTGTCTAATTCACTTGATACTTGCTAGTATTATATACCCATAGAAATAATCTATTGTAAGTTATTTATTAATGTTTGTAGTAATCTGCAATAAAATAAACTTCCTTTGCTACTACACAATTGGCTGCTGCTATTCTCTGCCATACTAATGATTGATACTGTTCGTGATTGCTTAACATCATTGTCATTGCTTAATATATGTACATCTCAATTTTATTAATCACATCCACTTGCTATTGTTTTTTTGCTAGTAGTACTAACCTGTAATAAGGTAGAGAAATTTAGAGGATAAAAGTCTCCATATTTTTGTTCATTATGGAGTCCTAGAAACCAAGGTCAAGATCCCTACTCACCCATGAGGTAGCCCATAAGGTTGTGACATATTCCCAAACATGTGCTTAGCTCCCCTCAGCATGCTTCATGGTGCCATTGGTAATACAAGTGAAACTACAGTTCAGGATGTGACAGAATGTTTTGCTGGATGCACGTGAAGCTGTAAAAATCAGTAACGTCCCACTACAGACAGGGTCACATATGAGGTTCAAGAAAGGGAAAACACAGCTGCATTAATCAAATGGCTTGTCACCCACTGAAGA